AAGGTAGTTTGTATATAGTACTAATGAAGTACCCAATGTAAAGATTATTACAAATATTGTAAATAGCGCCATCTTGTATTTATAGACCGAACTAAGTTATTTGTCATAAGATATCCGTTACCCTCGATTCTCTTCCTACTACACTGACTTCGGTCTATAAATACGGAGGTCGGTAGTTGAATAATCCTCTTTCGTTGGGTGAGCCATGGCATTCAGTCGACGAGCGCAGAGCGTGCCGGTTGTGTTTTGGATACTAAAGTGAATTGTATTAGAAATGGGTTTATCCCGTTCTTAGTAGGGCCTGGGGGGAAGCTGCAAGTAGTGAAGGTGAGTGTTAATGCATTCTAAAAGAGCCTTTTAAACCTACACCCGTGTCACAAGTCACGGGCGCTACTTGGGGTTTCCCTTGCGGTAGCCGGCTTCAAAGCCTAAGTTGCTATCATTTATTAGTGCTTCTTACACTAAGGACACTATACTATAATACTATAATCCAGTAATTTCACTACCTTATTTCAATTTTAACCAAATCAACCTACTGAAAGGTTTTCTGTTATACATAGTATTATATACAAAATATAATATGGTTTGCATTAGTCCTTTATCGTGGTAAGAGTTAACAAAAGGATTTCCACTAGAGTTGGGCGGCAAGTTGAGTACAATTAAGTTGGAAAGTTGCTAAGTAACGCACTTAAGTAACCGGGAGCAAATCGTTACTTTAATTGTATCTCGAATGGAAACGTGACTGGTATACGTATTCAGTTTAACAAACAAGTTTATTGTACGAAAAATGTACAGGTTTCTACACAATTACGAGAGAGAGACTAATTTCCTAGTTCTATGGATTCACCGGGGTGGCGGGTCCATCGTTTTATATATATATTACGACATCTGCAAATAAGCATATAGTCCATCTGATGGTAAACGGTTACTGTAGCCTATGGAAATGTCTATCTCGACCACACTTTCACAAATACACGACACCGTCCTCATCGGCGAAGACGACGACCTCAACCACATCATACCGCGCATAATAGCTCCTGCGTGTGCCCAAATTGGGTGTTTTCTATGTATATCATTTATATACGTACTTTCAAATATCATGTTATGTGTACTGTATTACACTTACGGTCAGGTATTTTTTTTTACTACTATGGTGGCAAACCAGCATACGGCCCATCTGATGGTAAAATAGTTAACGTAGTCTATGGACGCCTGAAACACCAGGGGTGTCACGTGCGCGTTGCCGACCCTTAAGAAACCTTAATATACCCTTCTTGAAAAACCCCGTGCTGTAGTCTCGTGAGAAAACCTCGGCAGGAATTTCATTCCACAACCTAAGTGTACGCGGGTGGAAGTTCCTCTGAAACCGCACTGTCCGAGACCACTTAGGTTCCAGCGTATGGGAATGAATTCCCTGTCGATGGCGAGCGGTCCGATGGTAAAAGGTGGCCGTAGGAATCATGTCGAACAATTCCTCAGAACACAGTCCGTTGTATAATCGGTAGAACATACAAAGGGAAGCGAAGTCGCGCCTCAAACTAAGCGATTCGATATTACTAGAGACATTGCGATCATCGACAATTCTCATAGCACGTCTATGAACCGAGTCAAAAGGACCGAGCTGTAAAAGTATTAAATCTTTAATGCACAAATACACAAATAGATATGCATATGGCGGATTTAACACCATGAGGTATTTTCTCCCAGTCAACCATTGGGCAAATAGATATTTATGTGGGCAGTGGATTTAAAAAAAAGGTATCTCATATACCTTTTGTTTCCTACTGAAAAAGGGTTATTTTTATTAACTAAATATATGTATATAACTCAAAGGTGACTGACTATCAACGCACAGCCCAAACCACTGGCCGGGTCGGGCTGAAATTTGGCATTCAGGTAGACGTTCTGACGTAGGCGTCCGCTAAGAAAGGATTTTGATTAATTCTACCCCCAAGGCGATAAAATAGGGGATGAAACTTTGTCAATTTTAAACCGATCGGGCTGAGACTTTGCATGCACAAAGCTACATAGTAGTATGACGTAGGCATCTCCTAAGAAAGGATTTTGATAATTTTGATTCCACCCCTAAGGGATAAATTAACGCGATCGAAGCCGCGAGCAAAAGTTAGTATACTAATAAAATAACCCTATATCATATAATCTTATGTAAATATATATATACTTCTCATGTGAATTGGTGTTACAGCGGTGTTCGGAAATATATACTCGAGATATAAGTGTTTATGTATTTTATATTTGTCTCTGCTTCGGGCGATCTGTGCTGGCTACAGAGTGTGCGTGAAAATAAAGACTTATTTGTCTGTGAGAATTTGAGGACACTGTAATTAGAAAATAAATGGTTTTCTAAACTGAAGAAGAATAGAAATAAACGTATATTAGTTGTCCCGGCAACTTTAATATAATGTTATGTATAACATATATGTAATTATGAAAATATGTATCGTTACCTACATAGTATAAAATAAAGTCGCTGTCGCTTTAAAGATTCAAACATGAATAAGGACAGACAGTCCCTATCTATGATTAAATCTTTAAAACTACGCAACGGATTTTGAAGCAGTTTTTTTAATAGATAGAGTGATTCTAGAGGAAGGTTTATTTGTATATTAGCTGTTACCTGCAATACGTCCGTGTGAAATTTATCTTTTATATTAATAAAATAAATAGGACTTCTAAAAGAAAAGGAGCTATTACTGTTAATAACATTAGCCATTTGCGAGTGCATCTCATCAAAATCGGTCCTGCTGTTTCAGTGTGCGGTCGACAAATAGATGGAGACAAAATTTGTTAAATTACCTTTTATTTTAGATATGAACAAAGGATTTATCTATCTATCTACCTCTTTGAGATAGTAAAGACCTGAACTAAGCCCAGAATTAAAATACTGAGATGTTTATAGCAACACCGGTTCATTAGAATACGGAGATTGTTTTAAATTATTGCAAAAACAAACGTCATTAAGGCTCGAGCTTAGCGACTCGAGTGGCCATTAAAAACACGAGAAATATTTACAATTACTATTTATTTTATACTTAATACATATAGAAAACACCCAGACCGATACAAACAAACATATTCAAGAATACAAATGTTTGTATTGTGCGAGGAATCGAACCTGTGATCATCAGACGTAAAGAGGTGTGGTAAATCGCTAGACCACCGAGTTTGGCAAAAGTGTTATAAGTTAATTTTCATTATTATTTGTTCTACAGAAAACACTTGTACTTCTACCGTAAAAGCAGTGTAGATTGAGTATAGGATATATTAGAAATAATATTATGTATGTCTATATATTTATATCAGGTAGACTCATTCAAATATTTAGGCAGTTTAATCACCAGCGACTCCAGATGTACCACGGATATTACAACAAGAATAGCCATGGCAAATAAAGTATTTAATGACAAAAAATACCTTTTACGTGCTAAGATATCCAAGAACTCACTGAAACGATTTATTAAGAAATATATCTGGAGTATAGCTTTGTATGCATGTGAAACGTGGACATTAACTCAAAAAGAAAAGGACAAACTGGAAGCTTTTGAAATGTGGTGCTGAAGAAGGATGGAAAGAATTAGCTAAGAATTAGAAGGAAAGATAGAAGTGAGAAGTAAGAAATGAAGAAGTATTGTACAGGCTGAAAGAAAAAAGGCAGATATTGATTGCAATAGATAGTAGAAGAGAAAAAATGTGGATAAAATAAGGGATGATGCAGGATATAATGGAACGAATAAATTAAGACGAACAAAATAATTTTTAGTTCTTTAAGATACTTCGAACAGCTAGTAATATATATTTTGTCTTTTATCACTCAAAATGAATAAATGTATTTGTTGCCATGTTTGTGAGAAGAAATAATAATAAAAATGAGAATCCTGAGATATTCTCAGGACAATTCACAGAGCACTATTCAGTCTCGAACTAAGCAGAGCTTGTGTTATGGGTACTAGATAACTGATAGGAATAAATAATTTTATTTTTTTCTGTCAATATAGACATAACATACATAGAAAACACCTAGACCGATATAAATAAATACTCATGAATACAAATGGTTGTATGAAGCGAGGAATCGAACCCACGACCATCTAAACTAAACTAAGCCGTCAATGGACGATCTAGATGGTTTATGATGGTTTATGAAGTGTTTATTCTCATTATTACAACATATCATTATATGTTGTAATAATGAGAATAAACACTTCTTTGTTCTGTGAGAATAAACTTCTTAGGTATAAAAATTCTCAGTAATATAAATTTCCGCTAGTTTAATGGCCCACAGATCGCCCGAAGCAGAGACAAACGATGTTTACGCTGGAACAACTAAAACAAACGGACAAAATAAAGGTGTTTTTGTTTATATTAAGCCTCCACTAAAGTATATTTTTATTAGTATACATTTTATGAACAATAGTATATTTATTTTGTAATACTTTATGTAGATGATTAGGGGGCGTCCATAAATTACGTGAGGTGTTTAAGGGGGGGAGGGGGGTCGAGTCAAATCTCATCTAATCTTACGTTGAAGAAAGGAGGGGTCTCGGAATATCATGCAATCTTATTACACTTATAAATTTCAACAATATTGTTCACTAGTCTTAAATAGTCGTAAATAAAAGCAATTTTTTTTTCTTTTTACAATAACATTCCAACACGTTTACGTAAGAAACCCACATTTTGAAAAATCTCACGTGAAATTGGGGGATCTCACCAGGGGGAGTGGGAGGAATTAAAAAAAAAACAGAAAAAAAACACCTCACAATTTGGTCTAACAATTTAGGCCTGCCAGATAGCGTCAAGAAGAGTACTAAGAGTTGCCCATCAGGTTGTTCGCTATTCCTGCGAGATAGCATCATGGAAAATTACTAAAAGGTGGCCATCAGGTTGTTTCCTATTTCTGCGAGATAGCATCAGGTAGAGTACTAAGAGCTGTCCACCAGGTTGTTTGCTATTCCTGCGAAATATAATCAGGGAGAATACTAAAGGTATCCGTCAAGTTGGTTGCTATTCCTGCGAGATAGCATCATGGAATTTACTAAGAGCTGGCCATCAGGTTGTTTGCCATTCCTGTGAGATAGCATCAGGGAGAGTATTATCAGCTGTCCATCAGGTCGTTTGCTATTCCTGTTAGATTAAAAATTTACATCAATTAAATTATTCGTGTAAATACATCCCTAAGAATTTCTGCCATCACTTACACCCGTGTAATGACACGTCGGTAACCCGCATCGCCTGGGCGAGTGTTAAATATTTATATTCCCATTTCAACGCGCGACGTGTCGATGTAAACACGGCCTATGTACATAAACCCATTTTTTTTTTTTTTATCTTTATAGGCTTTTTTTTATGTAATTGGACTGGCAAACATGCTGACGATTCAATTGATAGGACGTGGTGACTGCGTATTGTGAAATGCTTACTCTCGTGGTATCTCTCTTATATCCTCTTTTATAGAAAAGAAATTACAAGAGAGAGAGAGAGAGAGATTTTTGTTTTGAAAAAAGAATAAAATGTATAGAACTTCTTTCTTTTTTCAAAACCAAAATATCTCTATTGACATATTACAGGAGACTGTAATAGGTCCATTACAGACTCATATAATATATCAAATCTACCGTTAGTACGGAGTGCTTCCAAGGTAAGAACTGAGAGGAAACTCGGCTCTTATTATTTTATATGAGCTTGTGAATGAATTATGAGAATACATATACGTTTTAAATTCAGTGCAGCTTTAGATACTTTAGTTCTAGTATATAACTTACTGCAGTTCTAGACAGGCCGAGATTTTTTAGAAGTTTATAGAGAAATTTCGCTTGTAATCTTAATCATATAGTCAGTTTTAGTTAATTCGTTTTTAGTAATATTTTTTTTTTGTGCGGCGCAAAAAGTTTCTAGAAAACCGCACTGTGGAAGACCGCCATTCATCCAGATGATCAGGATGGTATTTCAGTTTCTGGCGGGTGGTACGGTGGTGAAACTCAGCAGCTGATATTAATCCGAACAACTCCTCAGAACACTCCCCATGATATGTGCGGTAGAAAATGCACAGAGATGCAATATCTTGCCGCAAAGCCAATGGGTCGAGTCTGTCACATAGACGTTGATTACCAATGATTCTGGCTGCTCGGTTCTGAATGCGGTCAAATGGAAGTAGCTGGTATTGTGGTGCTCCCGCCCAGAGATGAGAACAGTATTCCATATGCGGCCGGATCTGCGCCTTGTATAATTATAAGCGATAGGCCGCCGTTAAATACCGTCTCACTCTACTGAGCACATCAAGCTTTTTTGAGGCTATTTTAGCCTTGTCCTCCAAATGACCGCAAAACTGAACGTCACTGGATATATCAACGCCAAGGACCTCGAGATTTGGCTTCACATCAAGGAGAGTGTCTTGAAACTGAGGAGATACGATAAATGGATTCTTTTTAGCTGTATTTGTTTTTATTACGTTACCTTTAGGTTTGTTTGAGGTTTGAAAGTTGTGCCAGTTATAGATAAGTTGCGAGGTAATAGGTTTTTTAATGATGATAATGGAATTGTACACCCGCCTGCTCTAACGATTTAAGCTGGCGGGGCACCAGTGGAGGATGATAAGATGAGCATGAGGTCAGGTCAGTTAGCCCATCGTGACAAATTCACGAGGAATTTAACATGATGGTTTCCAGGGGGAATCGCGTGGAGGTCAATCTGATATGGTACATTGCTAGCAATATCGACCCCCCGAAGTAATAGTAGGTTGAGCTGGTATGGGCATGTTATGCGGAGGAACGAGGATCATGTCTTATGGAAAGTGTATAATATGAATGTGGATGGATGGAAAGGGAGGGGCGCCCTAAGAAAAGATGGATGGATTGTGTGAAAGATGATATGAATAAAAGAAGAGTATGTACAGATATGACGACCGATAGAGAGCAGTGGAAGAGAATGACATACTGCGACGACCACAAATAATGGGATAAAGGCAAGGCAATGATGATGATGTTATCTTTATATATATTCGTTTCCCATGGTATAGTGAGCTCTACCAGTACTATATAATAATATCTCAGGACAATTCACACAACGCCATCTAGTCCCAAGTTAAGCAGAGCTTGTGTTATAGGTACTAGACAACTTATATAAAAAAACATGGATGCATTTATTTTGTAAATAAATACATATTTTAACATTGAAAACACCCAGACAGATACAATTCATACTCATGAATACGTATGTTTGTACCGTGCGAGGAATCGAACCCGCGATCGGATATGATCGGTATGCTAAACCACTAGACCACCGAGGCTGTCAAACTACGTAACAATGTTAAAACATTTCTGAACAAAATATCAGTTTATCAATTCAATTTCCTGTACCAAATGACTCGCAGATTCAAGTTCTGTTTGCTGATCTTATTTCGATAAAATGAATGGAATGCTTTCAATGTAATTATATATTAGTCCTTCAATGTATTGGAATTTTTTATTTTGCTTATTTTTCGGATATCGTCGGGTCGCCGGACTGGAGTCCGCGAGCCGTGCTGCGGGGCGCGGGTCGAAGGGGGTGCGGGGATGCACCGGCCCGACCGGCCCTCACTTCTGATCTCACCACCGAATACTACACGCGCACAATATCCGATCATTCTCTATATTTTTTATATTTCAACCATTACATTTAACTTACAGTCCAAAAAACCTTTTAATTTAAAAGTCCTTAGTTTAGGAACCTACACTCATTTTTTTTATAGTTGGTAAGACAAACGAGCTAACTCATCTGATGGTTACAATAACTGTCCTCTATATTCAAGAACTACTGATATCACGTTATCATTTATTTATTTATTTACTAGTCGTACCCACCACTTCAGCCGCGTCAAATATCATTATATAAATATCAATGTGTTATTCTGATGCATTCATTCATTCATAATTTAAGAGCTGTGCTCTTGTCGGTGGAGCTCCCGCCACCTTCCACGATCTTCTATCAGTCCCTTTAGCTGTTGATACGACACGACTCCAGCTTTTTCTTTAACTTGCTTGATATAGCTGCGTCTTGGTCTTCCCCTACCTCTCTTTCCATCTATTTTTCCTTCTATAATGTTGTTAATTAGTTCGTCGTGTCGTATCAAGTGCCCCAACATTTTTCCCCGCCTATTCTCAATAATATCTATGATCTGTCTCTTTTCTTTAATCCTCTCAAGCACTTCTTCATTCCTTATTCTGATGCATAAGCTATATTTATTTATTTATTTATTAGCATACAAAACAGATTACAGTCAATATAATAATATAATAGGAGCGTGTAGTTCGGTACAAAACTGGATTGTAATCCAACACTATGTATGCCTAAGAGCTAAATTATATAGACGCATTCAATATACGCTAGATAATTAGATAAGGTTATATAATAATAAAAAGCAAACTAAATAGAAAATGATATATAACTACGTAATGCAATGAATTATCATGTTATATTACTGTAGTGTCATCGAAATCCGTTCAGTAGTTTTTGCGTGTAAGAGTAACAAACATACATACTTACAAATTGTCGCGTTTATAATATTCTTAAGATTTGTCTATACATATAAAGAAAAGTTGAGTGTCTGTTTGTAATATTGAAATAGCCGTTGTTTACTACATTTTCACGGGACTTTTATTGGCAGGTACATCAGCTACCTGCCTACTGGCTAATCTCTGAAATGGCTGGACTGATTTTGACGCTACTTTTATTTTAGAAATATAAAGTTAAACTCCACGCGGATCAAGTCGCGGGTACAATAAATAGTACAATTATTTCACTACTTACGTAGACCACATCACATTATCACATCATATATAACACCACAGTGGTGAGGTGATAACCAGCACACTACAGCCCACTGGGCCCATCAGTAGCCTGAAGTTGCTGTTCCCGCGACTTCGTCCGCATGTAATATAACTTTATTTTTCTAAAAGAGAAAGATTTGTTTCTAAAATAAAAGTAGCCTAAGTTACTCCTTATTACATCAGCTACCTGCTAAAAAAGTCCCGTCAAAATAGGTCCAGCCATTTTAGAGATTAGCCGGAACAAAGAGACCGACAGACAGATAGACAAAAATGTTATATAGATGTATGTACCGTATTTATATTCATATGCATGTAGTAAAAAACGGTTATTTCAATATTACAAGCAGACACTCCAATTTTATTTATAAGTGTAGATGTAGAGATTATTACAATGATAGTACCTATATATCTGCAATAACAAAACTATTTCCAACTGAAAACAAGTTTAAATAAGCATCCAAAATAAAATGAACGAATAACGTAAAAGTTATATTATATGTGTTACTTATAAATATTGTTACGAATCAAAAGCTGATTTACATAGTTTTGCTTTCAAGTTTGAAACGTTAACTACAACAAATGAATTCTCCGTAGGATATCAAAGTTCACCAGTTACTCCGTTCGATTACAAACCTTGAACCGATATTATAAAACGCATATTGCATTGCAAAAGTAGTCAGTAACATCGTTGTATTTCTGAAACATATCAAAATATATTTCTATGATACAAGAACGTTGTAAAATAGCATATTGTGGCATGTGAATTTGAACTTAATTGTGTGTGTAGTAAAAACAAATATTGATTGAATTGTGATCGGCGATTAAGATATTATTATCGTGATATTGAAATTCGGATGCCAGTATAGTGGCAAAATGGTGGATGTTTGATTTGTGGTAAGTTCTCTAATATCGGCCTCGTGGCTGGAGATTAACTTTTCGGTTCAAAGTAAAACATTTAGTATTAAGTTTGTTCTATTTAAGGCCACATTTGTATTTGGTCCCTCTCTAATATGCTGCTGAATTGAATTAATGTTGTTTCGTAACGCCCATGTAACTTTTTTTTTTGTGGATGATAATGTAATGGTGCACCCGCCTGCGCTAACGGTTTACGCTGGTGGGGCTCCAGTGGATTATGATAAGATGAGAACGAGGTCAGGTCAGTTAGCCCCTAGTGATAAATTCATCTGGAATTTATCACAATGGTTTCCAGGGGGAACCGCGTGGAGGTCAACCTGACATGGTACATTGCTAACAATGAGGATATAAATCCACATTACTAACAATCCCCATCGCCTATTTTATCCCCTTAGGGGTGGAATT